TTAATCCCAGACAGAAGAAGAATCACAAGTTTGAGGCCAACCTGGGCAACTTACAGAGACACTGCCTCAAAACAAAACAAAAAGGGCTGGAATGTTAAAATGGGCAAAAGAAAAAAGTCAGTTTCTTACTATTTCTAAAGGACTTTTAAGTAGCCTGTGTTTTTGAGCTGACCAGTATCCTGATATGGTAAGAGGATGAGATGATATCATCCCATTTAACAAGGATGCTGGTGCTCAGAAACCTACTTTCTTAATTGTTCAGTGGTATGGTACTTGCCTAGCATGTGCAGGATCCTTGGTTTGATCCCCAGTACAAAAAATAAAACAGGAAGCTGAATAATATAATTTATAGCTCTCAAAGTTATAAATATGTAAATCATAAGAAATTAAATATACCTATACTTTCAACAAACTTGTAATCTCATGATGGGAAGCAATGAATATAAGTGATGACTTTGATTAATGAAGTAGAGCAGAGAATAGGGAAAGAACATATTATGCAATGGACATGGAAACCTTATAACATGTACAAGGCTACATTTCAGGATGTGTAGTTCCGTCCTCCTCTTTTGCAGCAGAAGGCTGGATCTCTGTAGTACCTCCATGGGGAGACTCCCCCAGCTTTGCCTGGGCTGAGTCCTCTGCTCACTCACTGCCTACATATACCTGCATTCTTGCTTGTTAAATGGGATGATAATACCTCATCCTCCACCATATCAGGGTACTGGACAGCTCAAAAACATAGGCTACTTAAAAGTCCTTTAGAAATAGTAAAAAAAAAAGAAAACTTTTTCTTTTGCCCATTTTAACATCTATCAGTGAAGTTACAAGTAATACTTTCTATTTTGTATCACACTTATTTAATTACATAAATTACCTTTCTTACTAGACCATAATGTCTTTGTAAGTTTTATCTTTGAACATTTCACTGAGTCCAGCACAGAAATTTCACATAATACTCTCTGTATATATGCAATGAATTATTACCCTGGAATTTATCCAATTTAGCAATATCCATAAACTACAGAAAATTTGTACATTCTACATTTTTAAAGAAAAACTTAAAACTATCATTAAATTTTGACATTTCATCACTAGTCAATAAAAGACAGCCTTTTAAACTAAAGTTCATTTAAAAACTACTTTGGTAGAGCACTTGCCTGGCAATGTGCAAGACCCTGGGTTCTATCCTCAACATCACAAGAAACAAACTACCACAACAACAAAACCCAAAAGAACACCAAAAAACAAGTCTTACTTTTTTTTTTTTTTTTTAAATGATGGGGACAATAATACAATTGACTCTTCAAAGACAACTCAATGAAGTGATAACATTAATTATCCCAGATGAAAAACCAGGTGATGTGAACAAAACTAAGACATTAGTACTTTCATTCCAATGATAACTTTTGCAACAGTCAGAAATTGAGACTCAACTTAATTCCTAGTTATAATATATTTTAATACAACACATTTTAAATTAATTTTATTTAGTTCTACAGTATTTTACTTTACTCTTTCATCTTATGTGTGACCTCACTTTGACTTCACATTTCAGATTCTTAGAAGCCCTCTATAGTGGAGACTTGAACCCCCAGAGACAAGTTACATCTTGTTTCTTCAAAATTCAAGCTGTATGCTCAATAATAGATACTTCTCTGAAGAATGGCTACACCCACTACACCACACCCCCACTGGCACAGCTAAATGACCACCTCATTTCATACCACAGAACACACTTTAAAACTCATCAATACTAGGATTAAATAAGTTTAGACTTTCAAATAAGCTTAATTCTTAGTGGGAAAAATGTACCATAGCTGTATTAGTTTGTTAGGGCTGCCATGACAAAAAACTAGAGACCGGAAGCATAAAACAATAGAAATTTATTTTCTCACCATCTTAGAGGCTAGAGTTCAAGATGAAGATGTTAGGTTAGGTTGATTGCTTCTGAGGTTGAATAAATGGCTCTCTTCTTGCTGTGTCCTTACATGTTCTTTTTTGTGTGTATGTATGCCCCTGGTGTTTATTTATAAGTCAAAATCTTCTTATTTTATGACGACACCAGACTAGACTAGGGCGCACACTAATGATCTCACTTAATTTAATCACATAGTTAAAGGCCCTATCTCCAAATATAGTCACATTCTAAGGCACTAGATGGTAATGTTTCAACATACGAATTTGGGGGAGACATAATTCAGCCTAAAACAACAGCTAACTAGGTTCATTTATTTCTGCCCTAGGCACTAATTTAGGTTTTGTTCATCTTAAAAGCCAAACAATCTCTCAGCCATTCTTCCCCTAGAAATTTGGGGCTTACATTTCACATAGCTGTCCAAACCTCTCCTGTAACCCCTTGGGTACTTAATGAATGAAAACATACATAGTGATCCATCAGTTGCAATATGGCTTGTTGTTTGGGAGTCATCAAAAAGTTGTTAAGTAACAGTTCCTCTGAAACTACAGAGATATGCTTTTTAATTTTTTTTCCCCTTAAAGCATACTGTAATTTCAAAATATCCATCTGATGAATTATTTTGGTCTTGTACATGGTGAGGAAACTATTGAAAAAAGTGCTCAAAGACCCTTTAATATTTTCAATGAGCACTAATAACATTTAAGAGAGGCAGTGTGAGAGGCCTATAATTCATTCTTGCATATTTCAGTAAATTATTATTAAGGGGCTGGGGTTTGTGGCTCAATGGTAGAGCACTTCCCCAGTATGTGTAAGGCAATGGGTTCGATCCTCAGCACCGCATATAATTAAATAAAATAAATGTCCATTGACAACTTAAAAAAAATCATTATGAAGATGTTTTTTCCTTAAATACTGTTGTACATGACATGTTTAAAAAAATTGTAAAATAAGCCAAACTAGTGGTATCCAGGTAGATCTTCTCAGTTTCTGATACAGCACATCCATCAAAACTATTTTTTTTTTTTTTTTGTAAGCCTGGCTTCATTAGAAGACACCTTAGGTCAAACTGCAAAATGCATTTGTTTCTTTTCTAGGGGGTGCTAGGGATTATACTCAGGGGTGCTTTACCACTGAGCTACATCCTTAGTCCTTTTTATTTTGAGACAGGATCTTGCTAACTTGCTGAAGGTTTGACTAAAATTGCTGAGGCTGGCCTCAAACTTGCAATACTTCTGCCTCTGCCTCCAGAGGCACTGTAATTACAAGACTGCTCCACCAGGCTGGCTGCATTTCATTTTAACAAGCATATAACCTCATTTTTATAATACAAGTGAATTAGCATCTGCAATAATCAGACAACTGCATACACATTGTCACAGGATTCATGTTTCAATCTTTGAATGGTCATTTTACCTTACCTATCCAGCGTATCTTACATTATACAGCAATTTCTACTTTATCTTTACAGGCATAAAGACCAGAACTAATAAGAGTGAAGAGTATGTTGTTTATCAGCCACAGTAATCTGTTTCTATCACCAAGTATGACTTTTTTACTAAAATGTGCACAAAACACTAGACTTGAAGAAAACTTATGTAGGTCCTATTAGACTATCCAATCCATTGACAACAAAATGGCACACCCCTCCCAGTCTAATTAACTTTCTTTAACGTTGGGACACCTGATATTAGCTGTCCCACATTAACTTAGATGTTGATCAGATGAAGACATCTCATCAAAAGAATGCCTGTAATCCCAGCAGCTGGGGAGGCTGAGGCAGGAGGATCAAGAGTTCAAAGCCAGCCTCAGCAACTTAGCAAGGCCATAAGCAACTGAGCAAGACCCTGTCTCTAAATAAATTATAAAAATAGGGCTGGGATGTGGCTCTGGGTTCAATCCTGGCTACAAAAAAAAAAAAAAAAAAAAATCTACTTAAGTATGAACAATGACCAAAGAATGACTAATTAAAATTTGGGGCACTATACAAAGAAAACACTCTTCAGATACTTAGGAAAAAATTTCACTTTGAATTTTAGTCAAGTTTAGTGGTTTCATTCATTTACAACGTTTAAGGAAAAAATGATAGTTTGTGAATAAAACTATCATAAAACAAACCTTTATGTCACTCTTGATTAGTAAATAATAATAGTTGACACACACATGCTAAAAACTGTTTTTCATAATGGTAGTCAAGCAGCATAAATGAATCGATGTTTCCTAGTTCAGATTTTAACTGGCTACAGGAAAGTAAAGGGGCCTCAAAATTTGTTTTACTGACATTTTTATTTAGTAATGGCTTAAGTTGTAAATTTTTTAAAAATCAAATGTTTTAATATACCTTTGTGTTCTCTCCATTTCCCTTGCCTACATTTGTTGTCGTTTTGGGTCTTGGACACTTCCATTTTCTTCTTTTATGCTCCCCAAATGGCAAAAAACCTGGCGTGTAACTCATCATGTCTGTTTTTGTTTTGTTTTTCTCATTCTGAAAGATCTGGAATGGGAGTTAGAAAACCCAGGTGCAGCCAAGAATAACCTATTTGGATTTTCTAAGCAAAGTGTGTGTGGAAAATCATCTCCTCGCCCTTCATTTTGTATGTATTTAACGGCGCTGTCGTGCCTAAACGTAGATACTAGCCAAGAACTCGATTTCCAAAATGGCTTTGCTCCTTCAGAGCTGACATTGGTCTATAAAATAGAATTTATTTCCACTGCAACCAACCCTTTTCTCTACTCCAATTACATGATTCAAGACAGCTGAGCCTAACCAAGTGTGGACAACTGAATCTGATCTGTTAAATTCAGCAGAGCCGACAGATCCGTTGCACTGATGTAAAAAGAGTGTTAAAAGGAAAAAAAGAAAAAGGGGGAAAAAAACCCCAAAAAACCAAAAATCCTCACGGAGCACACGAGGGGCGGGATCGCGCCCTCCCGCCCCGTCCGCGCCGCGGCCACGCCCCCACAGCGGCCACGCCCCCTCCCATCCCTGCCGCGGCCACGCCCGACGTGAGGCGCGGGAGTCGCCGGGCCGGGGGCGGGGCCTGGGCCGCCCCTCCCCCAGCTGCCGCCGCCGCCGGCGGCCTCCGCGCGGGCCTCCCAGCCCGTATTCCACTCACTTTGTTCTCCGCCTTTGTCCTAATCCACACCAGCAGGTGGAGCCGCAGTTAAAGTTTCCGAGTCCATTCCGGGAGCGGGAGCCTATCTTGTTTGCCGCCGAGGCCCTCGCTGGAGGAGGAGGGTCAGAGCTCGGGTGCAGCCAATCGCGGGCAACGCTGCTAGTTATCAGAGCAGAATGGGCTGTAGTTTAGTGAAATAGGAAAGCTGCAAAACACTGTGGAGTGCTCCCGTGTAAATAAAAAGAGGAAAAAAAAGTTTCTCAAGTCGCCGCTGCACGACGTCGGGCCGGTGCCGGGGCGGGGGTCTGCGCTCTTCCGAGCGGCCGCGCGCTGGACTTTATTGTGCCGCAACAAGCCCCCGTCCCCATTGTTTGTGTTTTTTTCAAAATATGGCAAAGGTTCAGGTGAACAATGTAGTGGTGCTGGATAACCCTTCTCCTTTCTACAACCCGTTCCAGTTCGAGATCACCTTCGAGTGCATCGAGGACCTGTCTGAAGGTGAGTCGCGGCGCCGCCGCCCGCCCAGGCTGTCAGTTGCGGCTGCAGACGTTGAAAGTTTCCCGGGCCCGGCCTCGCGCGGGCGGCCGGCCGCGGCGCCGGGCGGGCTGCGGCTCGCCTCTGCGGAGGGAAACTTGAAGTTGATGGACGACGGCCGCCGAGGCGCGCGCAGGTCCAGCCGCAGCCCCGGCGCCTGCCGCGGCTCAACTTGCGAGGAACTTGTTCGAGCGGAGGTAGCCATGTTGTCAGCTTTGTCTGGCGGGCGGGAGGGCGGTTCGGGACTCGCACTCGCGCCCGCGGCGCCGGCCGGGACTAGTGCCGGGCTGGCCCCACGCCTCGAGCTGCCTCCGCGACCCCCGCGGCCAGACTGGGCTGGGAGAGGTGTGTGTGTGGTCGCCCCGGCGAGTTAGCAGCGGAGCCATCTTACCCCAGTAGAGAATTGGGCTGGCGACCCCAGCGTCACGACGACGCCTCTGCCCCGCTGCGGGTGACGAGCACGGCGCCCCGCCTGCCCACCTTCTTGCTCCTGAGCCGAAGGCAAATCCATTTTTAGAGCTTACGGTAGAGTTGCCGTACTCTCCTGGCCGGCCATGCCCGGCCGCTCCGGGGAAGAGAGCGAGGCTGTCCTCGCGCTGATTTCTGGTTTCCTCGGCCAACCAGCGGGGAAGGCGGGAGCAGGCTCGGCCCCTCCGCGCCGCTGGCTCCCCGGGGGCCGCCCGTCCTCCCCGGCCGGTCCTCCCGGCCAGCGCCGGGGATGCTCGTGGCGCCCAGGATGCTGGCGCGCAGGCTCCCCGACCAACGTGGACTCCTTTTCCTTAGTGACGGAAATCTTCTCTCCTCTCTCTCAGGAAGAAACATATTGCTAAGATAGGAAGTTACATTTAATCCAAGAGCAGAAATAAGATACTTTAAAAAATTCCCAGGACTTAATCTCTGGCTTCTAAATAGTCCGAAAGAAGACCGTCTTCGAGAACGTGTTGAAATCTAATTAAAATAACCACATCCAGACAGATACAGAATACACCCTGAACATAAAAAACAAACGTGGGCTAGGAAATAAAAGGTAAAGTCCTGATGGCAACGCAACAGTCTTTAGTATTTTTACGTTTTAAGATCTTAAAAAGAATCTTTTTAATACTTGCAGTAGTACATACAGTATTTAGAAAGCTAAAACTTGATAATCTTTAATCTGTGCCTTTTTTAGATTTTATTAATACAATTCAGTGCTTTATTTTCAAAATCTGAGTGGAAAAAAAGTTTGACTTAAGTATTAATTTCACAGTTAAAATAGGGGGCCATCTTTGAGTTTACATGTATATTTGAAAAAATGCATTTAAAATTATTAGGCTAATCATGGCACTGTAAAGCATTTTTTCATTTTAAAAATCAGTTCTTAATCTCTAAAATGTATTTTAAGTAAGATGTTAATTTTAAAAGCAATGTGCACTCATTGCAATAAACTTTTTAAAAAGTTGTACAAAGTAGCAGTCCTCAGTACCTACCCTCCTTTAGCTAACCACAATTAACACGTTAATATGTGACTTGTTTTAATATATACATCAAGCATAAATGCATGTATTTCATATGGAGCATATTCTGAAGGATTGCTCATGTATTAAAATGTAGTAATCTATAAAGAGGTCATGGATAATAAAAGATTATTTTTCTTACTATTTTGAAACCATTTGGTTACATACGTTTACATGGTACTACTAAAAGCATTTCAACTGCCAGCCCATTTTTCATACCTAAGAGTCAAGTCATCTTTCTTCCAAACAATTGCATATACAAATGGGTAAATATAAGAAAAATATTGATCAATCCATCCCAATTTATACTAGGTGTTTTGGGCATTAGAAGACCTTCATGTTACCAGTTTTTCGCAAGGATGCCTTCCATTTTAGGATGTTGTTACAGGGTCTTTACATGGCTAGTTTGAAACCTGCCATTTATAGAAGCCAAACTGTTCCATTTTTAACGTGGATCCTTCAGAACTCAGCTCAATAACATCACAGATTTCAAGAATACACCACTTCCACTGGTAACACTTCACATCGGGGTACCATCACTGGGCATTTATTTAGTACTTTTAAAAATATTTTAAGCTGAGTCATTGAGAAGCTGCAAAGGAATCTTTCAAAAAGGTGCCATGCTTGTGTACTCCACCTAGAGGCTGTGTGGATTAAGGAAGTTGAGTTTACTGAGCAAAGGGTTCCTTTTAGGTTCCATACTTTTATATTGTAGTCAGTTTTTAATAATCTATTCCTGAAATTAATCTTTAGAATATTCTGAAGAGAATTTATAAATTACTCTTTCTTGAGCCCCAAGCTATAATTAAGCCACCATTTTTCATACTTTAACTGGTCAAAGTCCCCTTTAAAAACTACACTATTGGTTTGCTTCAGAAAAAGCCTTATATAGTGTTTGTTCTTCAGATAATTCGCTTGTTTCTAACATAAGGCTTATGTCAGGGAGTAAAATAGTTCTACAAAATGAAAGGTCAAGATTTAAGCAGAAGTTGGACTGGGGTTGTAGCTCAGTGGTAGAGCACTTGCCTGGCATGTGTGAGATACTGGTTTTGATCCTCAGCACCACATAAAAATAAAGGTATTATGTCCATCTACAACTAAAAATAAAAAGATTTAAGCAGAAGTTACAAAGCCTTCACAAGAATTGACTGATCTTTTTACTTTTTAAGTTTGTATATCAATAATTACAGCTACTGATAGTTGAATATTTACAGAATTGAACATTGTGATTTATACTCTGAATTTTCAAGCTTATTCTAATGCTAAGTGCTGCATCTTTAAAACCATAGGTCTTTCCAATAGTTTAATTAATTTTAAATCCCCTTTGTTGACTTGCTTGGGTCACTCCCACCACCACAAACGGAGATACTTTCCGCCTGGGATTTCTACAACTGAATGAAATTTAACTTTTTATATAAATGAATAAGCTCTTTCAACTGGTAACCTACTTAAAGTAGATGACCTTATCCTTTCCTCTTTGAAATACAGAGGGCTGGATAATTAAATCTAGGTTAAAAATAATAAAACAAGTAACACTAATTTATAAAAATTGCTGGCCATTTAAAATGCAGTAGGTTCCACAAGGATCCCACAGCATAAAAACCAATGTGTAGACATTCCTTGATTTGGTTGGCTTTTACTAGCTAAGGCTAGATTATTCCTTCATCCCTTCTTACTTTCACCTCCCCACACCACCACCAATTACTGCCTTCTTTCACTATTAATTCAAGAGCTAGAAAGGTTAAAATTTATCTTCCCAGTTATGTTTTGGAGAGTCCAGACTTTGGAATTGCCCTAGCACATCTTGGATTTTGATTCTTTAATATATTGTGTAGATGAGTAGGTTAGAGTTCCACATAAAATACCTAAAAAAAAAAAATATATATATATATAGATATATATATATTATATAGATATATATATATATTATATAGATATAATATATATCTATATAATAAAGCTGTTGAGGTTTTACCAACAGTTTTAAGTGGCAGAACCAGTACAAGCAGGTTTATAAATTATGGGTACATTCCCTATGTCAGACAACATGCCAGCCCCACCACTGAGTCCAAGATCCTACTGGTACAAATACATATGAAATTAACAATCTTATGAAAACCTCTATGACAATTCTCAGTCTTATCCTCTCTTGGCTAGCTTAGTAGCTTTCACATCTCTTTCAAAAGCTTCTTGGCTTTTCGGTCACCTACTTAATTAGCCACTAGTTTCCTAACCTACTTTATTGATTCTTCTTTATCCCATCAATTATAATGGCTTTATATACTACTGCCAATTTCCAAATTTTATCAGACCTATTTAGTTATCTCCACTTAAATATGTAGTAAACATCTCAAACATGTCTACAACTAACAGGGTAATTTTCCTCTCCTCCCACCTCAACCCCTGCAAAAAAAAGTGTCTCTTCCTGCTTCTGTCATCAGAATTTATCCAGGATATAACTGTTTCACATCCACCATGGCCACACATAGTCCATGATACCATAATATTTTGCCTCATCATAATTTTTTAATACTTTTTTTAGTTGTAGATGGATCTTTTTAATTTTATTTATTTGTATGCAGTGTTGGGGATCAAATGCAGGGCCTCACACATGCCACGCAAGTCCTCTACCACTGAGCCACAACTCCAACCCCGCATCATAATTTTTTGAAATAGCCTCCTGTTGTCTTGCCCCCTTATAGTCTATACTGAACGCAGCAATTTAAATGATGTTTTAAAATGAAAATGGATCCCTGTCACTTCTCTGCTCAAAACCCTTCAATGGGCCTGAAGGTGTGGTTCAGTGGTAGACTGCTTGCCTGCCATTCACAAGGACCTGGATTTGATCCCTGGCACCACAGAAATAAAGAAAACCTTTGGCTTCCCATGTCATTCAATGTAAAAAGTCAAAATCTTTTAAGTTGGCCTTCAAACCTTTGTCTTATGGTTGGTTACTGACCCCCTTGTTCATTCTGTTCAAGTCCAGCCTCACTTTTTTCTGACCATGCCAAGCATGTTTTCTCCCTGACTGGATGCTCACATTGCCTGCTTCTTCATCTCTATCAACAAGTAGGTGTTCCTGTGAGAACCCAAATGCGGAAATGTACTAAAAGTGGGCAATGTGAGTGGTCAAAATCTAGGATAGAGCCATGACATAATAGGCCCTCAACAGTCACTGATTTTTAAGAACATGTATAAACCTGAAGTAGCTTTCAATTCAATAAATTGCAGTTTATAATAACATAAAAAAGTACCTATCATTTCTTTTATTAAGATATAAAAATATCTATACAGTTACACAAAAATGGCACTAACTAGATTCTCTTGTAAGTGATCCAGAAACTCATGCCTTTGGGGGTGTTTATGTGGTCTCAATGAATCTACCGTGCAGGATTCACTCATGAATCCAAGAGCAGGCCACACACATCAAACACCCTAAGAGGATGAGGAAGTCTCTTAAAGATGATTTGTATTTATAGAATTGTCTTCCTTCCCCTACTAAAGAGGAGACTCCTTCAAAGAGTAGCAGTTTTACTTATCCCTGCGTTCTCCAGAGTACATTGTAAAAAGTGTTCAATTAAGTTTGCTATTGAATTACATATCAAGTCTTAGAGTGCACCTGAGTTTGTTTTATACTCCTTGTGCCCATTGCTCCTATATATACTCTGTTGTGCAAACAGGTGGAAGGTTCTGGGTTTCCTCTTCCCAGTTTAAAGAATATATGACCTGAGGGAAAGAAAACCCTGTGGTCCTTTAACCACAGTTAGTATAATTAGTAATAGGCATCAGTTCCAACTAAACCAGTAATGTGCATCTTCAGTTTATAGTTTCAGCCATGAGAAGTGATGATAAAACAGCTACTTTGTTTCAGTTGATGAGCTAATAAAGCCCTTACTTCTGAGTCAAAAGGGAGTTATGCTAATAATGATTTTTCTACTTGAGAGCTCTGTGCTGATTTGAATCTCACAAGACAGGCCTTCCAAAGTATGTTGAGGAGGTTGTTAAAAGATGACATGCAAAAAAGGGCTAAGGAATTCCTTAGCCAAATAAACATGGGAAGTGCTGGACTAAGGTTCCTGGTATTCTTTATTAAGGGATGTCTCAGAACACAATGTTGGCATGCTTTATAAATCTTTTAAGACAAGGTGTATAGCATTTCCCAAATTTCTGGTCATGCAGTCTTTTTTTGTGAAGAGCACTGTTCAGGGACCAGTGTTTCAGAAAAGATCATTTTGAGAAAGTGGTTTGAAGAATGAACTCTGGTAAGAATTTTATAAGAAGCGGTTCATTGCCTTTCTGGATTTTCTGCTATTCGAAATCATTTTGCAGCCAATGTATGGCTAAGTAGACATTAAAAGGGTTTTTTGATGTCATCTGGGAATGTAATTACTGATATGAAAAAATGTTTTGGTTTTTAACTCTAGACTTGGAATGGAAAATTATCTATGTGGGCTCTGCAGAAAGTGAAGAATATGATCAAGTTTTAGACTCTGTTTTAGTGGGTCCTGTTCCTGCAGGAAGGCATATGTTTGTATTTCAGGTAAGATTCATCTTAGTAAATTTGTATACCAGATATGTTTCTAAATTGACTGTCTCATGGTTCTTATCCTTTTACTTTTGTGTTAAATCACTGCTTCAACTACTTTTAATCTGCTGTCTTTCAGGCAATCTCTGTCATAAAGGGACTGCACTTCTTGGTTTTATGTACTGAAGTGATGTTAATAATATTTTGCTTCAGGGAAGTGCACAGCATGCAGTAAACCTTATACTATATGATGGCACACATAGTGATTAATCTTGGGCTCTTCTAGTAGATCAGACTTTTAAGATGGCTGTCCAGAACATGGATTCAAAACACTTTGCTAACTGGTACAGTTAACCACATAACCAGGCAATAATATGAATCAATAGTAAGGGAAACTAGACCATTTAGTAATAAACATTTTCAGTTTATGGTTTCAGCCACTAAGAGTGATGCTAATATAACAAAAACAAAAACTTTATTTCAGAATAGTCAGTAAATAAACTACATTAACTATAGATGGAGATGTGTGATATTGAGGCATTGAATTTTGAGGGGATCAAATCCAGGAACTTCTGCATGCTGGGCAAGCACTCTATAAATGAGTTTATCCCCAGCTGAGTCACTGGAATTAAAGTCCAGTGGTTTACTAAGACATCTAATCTACATACCTTATCAAGGACTACTGTTGTAAGTCCACTAGTCATTTGTGAAGAAGAAATCTACTAATATAAATTATGTCCTCAGATACCACTGACAGTATTTGGTCTGTGCCAAGGCTTCAAACATTGTCTTCTGTATGCAAAAGTGTGATTTCTTTTAATTCATGCTAAGTTGCTATTGAGTCATTTCTAAATTCTCCATGCTTCTTGGAGGGAGATATTAATAATATTCCAAAGAGAATTAGCCATAGGTGTTTTTTTTTTTTTTAAATAAACTTATTAGTTTTTGTTATAAGTATTTCTACCCAACAAAGTCTCACTGAAAAGTCTTCATCAAGATAGAAAAGGCTGGGGCTGGGGTTGTGGTTCAGTGGTAGAGTGCTCGCCTAGCATGCACGAGGCACTGGGTTTGATCCTTAGCACCACATACATGTAAAATAAAGATATTGTGTCCACCCAAAACTAAAACATATTAAGAAAGAAAGAAAAGTCTAACTTTTCCTGTCACAGACGTTCCTGTTTTCTCACTTCATAGTGACAAACCGTATTCAGTTAAATTGGCCCGGTCTGAAATCAGCAAAGAGGGATGAAGATGTGGCTTAATAATGGAGCACTCACCTGACATGTGTGAGACTCTAGGTTCAATCCCCAGGGCCACAAATAAACAGGCAAAAGAATCACTCAAACACAGTCCAGCTCTAGGGATGCCTTTCCTAAATATAGAATTCAGAGACTTGTTCTCTTAGCCTTAGGAGCTTTATATTAGGAATGCATAAATAATTTAATGTATCAAAGCAAATGGTGAAGAAAAGCTCTAAAACACATTAAAAGGGTTAAATGAGTTGTACGAGTGTATAATCTTGTGAAAAGTGGGTAACACAGAACGCCCAGTTCTGCAGAAGGAAGCACTGCCATTACAGACCTTGGTCAAACCCCACACCGCTGTGTGTGAATTTAGACAAGCTCATCTCCCTTAGAGACTCCACTCATCTATAAAATGTAGGTAGGATCCTATCTTCATGAGAATGTTATAAAGAATAAAACAGTATCATCACTGACAATCTAATTACATCTATAATTAGAACTAAATTTTTATTCTCTTAGTTTCTTGAAATTGTTATATAAAGAGGCAGGAATTGATTTGGCTGACACAAGCTTGGGGAACCCTTACTTTACTGATAGTAATTCATGGTGTAGTAAAAGAAACTTGGGTTGACATATAGTGCTACTATAAACACTTAGATAAATGCCTTGGTTTTGAAATATTATCTATTGAGAATCTTTTTTTTTTTTTTTTTATTGTTTGGAACAACACTCTCAAGCTCTTGGTTAAGTGTTATAAGAGAAAAAAACCTCATTCAATAGTATTTCCTTCTAGTGATAAGTAGCCTTACCTTGATATCAGTGTGCATATTGCCAAAAAGAACAGATGTTTACAAAATTAACATCAACAGAAAGTGGCTAAGGTACAGTTTTTGATGTGTTTTAAGTAAAGTATGCCATAATATTCTCCTGTTCTGCTATGATTCTGCTTCAGAATTATTCAACTTGCCTGTTTCTTGAGTTGTCAAAGACTAGCAGTAAGACAGCCAGACATCTGCCTCATATTGCTGGTTGAAGGCAAAGATCAAAGATCTCTGTCCATCACTTCCTTATCCTGAATGATCTGAAAGACTTGCTACTTTCTCTAATTGAATTTGCTAACCTGAGTAGTTTAGCAAACAGATTTTTAAACAAACATGCTGAGAACCCATTTGTTGCGTGATGAGAAGCAATATGGAGGAGAGTTCCCATAGTGCTACTGAACTATTTCCCATCTCCACCTACTGCAACATGAGAAACCCTATGGGTACTTTAAAAGTAACCTAACCCCTCTGGGGAAGAGGTGTGTAAGATCTCTATGACAATCATCTTTGGGATAAGCTCTCTGTTCTCATGGTGTCTCTCCAAGGAGATCAAAAACACCTTCAAGACAGGATCTGAATAATGAATAAATTTCAAAACACTAAATGCTTAAAGCTGTACCAAACATAAGATTATAAAGATGAACTAGATGGGACTCCTGCCCTGGACAAATTAGGGAAGACTGAAGAGTAAACATAATTTGATTGTTAAGCATACAAGTACATTTTAAAAAGCTGCTAACTTTACCTTCTTGGGGCTTATAAGGATACAAATTTTTTCAGGATGTGAGGGAAGTACATTTCAGGCCAAGGGAACACTATGTTCAAGGCACAGAGGTGGGAAAGGTTATCAGCACATCTTAAAGAACTTGTTTAGTAATTCATATCTAGAACAAGAATTGAATTAAAGGAGGTATGAATGGAGTTATTGGAGAAAAATTATGAAGGATCTTAAAAATGAAGATAACCAAGATTTTGATCCCTACAAAATGGGAATAATCTATGGTTTTCAAACCAGGCTAAAGGACAGAAACAGATCTGTGTTTGAATCCTAATGCTGGCAGCAGTACAAATGATAGGCTAGAGGTGAAGAGACAAGTTAGAAGGTTTTTGCAATATTCCAGATAAGAAATGAAGACATGAAGCCAGCCTTCAGCAATGAGAGATGTTGAGAATGACTGGATGAGAGAGATAAGCATTGGCTGAAATTTTACCTAGGCCCAGGATGCTCCTTAGTGTCCTGACAACAGTAAGCTAATTTGCTGGAATTTGCTGGCTGGTTCAGGTTGAGCTCAGATGTCTCAGGTATTATCACTGCCTATGTCTTCTCTGTCTGTGGCTCCTTCCATCCAATCCATGTCTTTATTTCCTGTACACTGCTATAGATACGGCCCTAGCCTTTTCTTGTGTTCGTAGCCCCTTCTCTTCTCGTTTCACCTTCTGCATTAAAACAAGGTCTTTGATATCACCTACCTAAAACAATCTTCACCCTCATTGAATTTCCACCAATACAGGTGGTTTAAACAGCATGTTTTTATTTTTTAGCAAAGTGACTATTTACAACAGTGGATTATTAACATTTTTTTTAAATGCTGTATACATTTCATCTTCATTTTATACTAATTTACAATTAGAATATCTGTTGAGTGGGCATGAGAATATAAGTGTCCTGGTATAATAAACATTTCTTGCCAATAGGTTGTATAAAGATAATATTTATTAATTAGGTCTGTAAATTATAACCGGACAAAATTAAAATCCATAAGACTATTGATTTGATTGCTTAAGGGTACTTAATTATAGCATGGATAAATACGAGCAATATTTTTAAACTAGAAGCCTATCTCAAAAATGAACACTTGCCTTCCTAATGTGATTTCTAAGTTTCTGTTGCACCTTCAATTGATATTGTTAAAATAATGAAAACTCCAGCCTTTCATGCCATTAACAGCTTTTTTGTGTTTCTTTTCTTTTTAAATTATTTTAGGCTGATGCACCTAATCCAGGACTCATTCCAGATGCAGATGCCGTAGGTGTAACAGTTGTGCTAATTACTTGTACCTATCGAGGTCAAGAATTTATTAGAGTTGGCTATTATGTAAATAATGAATACACTGAGACAGAATTAAGGGAAAATCCACCAGTAAAACCAGACTTTTCTAAGGTAATATTCCTGTCATTACTTTTAAATTACTTATAGTTTTTTTAGGAAGTTGCTATTTCACAGTACACTACGAAAGTGGCTTTGATACAAAATAAATTTGAAGTCCTTGTGCCATCTGGGCAAAGTGATTATTGTTCCATTATCATGGATCACCTCAAACCCTACATCCAGTGAATTACTAGTATTAATGTTGGGCAGATACCTTGATAGTCTCTGATGGTTTACAAAAATGAAAGTGCCTCTTGTAGAACCAGGCCATTGTTTATGGCTCTGTCTGTTGCATTTTTCAATGCGTCAAGATTTACCTGATTTTAACTTTTAGGACAAGCAAGTTCATATCTGTGATATTATTGATTAATCACTGTTTTTATCTATAAATTTTCCCAAAATTATAGGAAGAGATTTTCTGTTTGCATTGTATATGAATATTGTTATCTTATGCCACCTAAATGCTTTGTTTTAGTTGCTATTCTTAGAAGTTAGACTATAGGTCTTAATTTTTTTTTTTTTTCCTTCTGTACTAGAGATTAAACCCAGGGGCATTCTACCACTGAGCTATATCCCAGCCCTTTTTCTCTTTTTCAGTTTGAGACAGGGTCTCTGTAAATTGCCCAGGCTGGCTTCTAACTTGGATCCTCCTGCTTCAGCCTCTGAGAACTGAGATGACAGGCATGTGCCACTATGGGTGGCTTAGGTCTTAAATATTTCTGATTATGGAAAACAGCTTAAATTCCATGAAGTTAAAATATGATTTAGTAGTTTCAAAGATATTTAGTATCTTATAAGTTTCCATTAGGAACCATTAGCAGTTTAATAACTGGTGATTTTGTGAGGATGCAAAGTAAGCAAAGTTAAAATGGCACTATGTGCCAGACCTTTCAAGAAAAATTTCATGACTGTGGAATAGAAAGTTCTCCTTTCTGATAATAAAGCTGGAATGCTTTTTATCCTATTTGTGGGGCCTTCCATTGATCTATTACTTATATTGAAGAAAACAAAGAAACTAATATATTGTTTCTAAGAATGAGCCATAATATTTAAAAGGTAGGAAGCCACTATAATGAAGTTACTACGTATTCATAATAATATAATATTTGGGGAACTTATTCATTTTCCTTGAAAACATCAATCTAAAGAGATATTGTTTCAATAAAGCATCCTCTGAAGCATTCACCTACAAAAGACTTTTTCCCTCCCTTTTAGGAAATAAAGTATAGAAGAGTTAGATGGCTTATTGGTAGTGAAAGATCTATATGAATTCCCTCAGATTCTCCTTTTTTTGTTTCTACTAGGAAAATAAGTTCTTTGCCGTGGCCTCAGTCTTCGTTTATTAGTTAGGCCTGAAGGGCTTTATTTGACTTATACCTTTGTATGTGAATGTCTCTACTTTCTATGGTGATCTAACTTTCCTAGTGTTTACCATTTATATATTTCCTTCCTCTAGCTTCAAAGGAATATTTTGGCATCTAATCCCAGGGTCACAAGATTCCACATTAACTGGGAAGATAACACAGAAAAACTGGAAGATGCAGAGAGCAGTAATCCAAATCTACAGTCACTTCTTTCAACAGATGCATTACCTTCAGCATCAAAGGGATGGTCCACGTCAGAAAACTCACTAAATGTCATGTTAGAATCCCACATGGACTGCATGTGACCACCTGCCATCCCTTTAGTACAGATTAAGCTATTAAAAACAGAACTATTTCCCTGAAATTCCGTAAGTACATAGTCAAGACACAATGTGAAGAATTTGTTTAAAAACATCCTGTAGAAAGTTTATAAGAAAACCAGTATTTGAGCAAATTGTGGAATATAAATACAACTATTTTTAAGTAATTTTTTTTCTCTAATGTGTTATTTTATTTGTTCTGAAACTAATCTGATTAAAGCATATATATTATTTTCTTCTCCTTTATATGTAATTAAAGCACTTATAAAAAGGAAAATATGAATCATCAAACCAGATTGTGAAGATGTCTTAGCCTCTTGGACAATAATCTTGGGACCACTATTTTACTGGCCTTTGAAAGAACAAAGTTGACTTCAACTAAATGTTTCTTCCTGTGAAGACAAAGTGTGGTTTTAATTTAAGAGGCAAATTTCCACTGGTTAACAAAAAGGAGTCCTTAAAAGGGGAATCTGAAGTCAACTAAAAACTACCAAGAACTTTAGGTTTCAGTTTTTCCAGGCCACCATAACATCTTGTAGCTGCTATTATAGTTCATGTAATATTGGACAGTAGTTGGTTTGGTTTCTAAAATAATAACAAATGTGGCTAATTGTTTATAAGGTCCTCTGGCTATGGTTTTGGTTTTATAACAGGACATCAAAACACATGAACTATAACTCATTTTTGAACAGTGATTTCGACATATCAAGAGCATATAAACTCCCTAAGTTTAAGAACATGAGATTATAATAGCTCAAATATACTTATAGATCATCTGTTGTTGGCACTATTTATATAAAAACAGTGGATTTAGAAAGGTATATTTAGCTTTATCATAACATTAGTTACTATTTTGGAAATATCTATATTTTCACATCTATACTACTCTTTCCCATGTCCTCTGACAACTCGAGAAGAATAGGATCAGGCATATTTGTAGTTGACACATTCTAGATAGCTTTTCCATATAACAGGTTTTTGAAAAGCAATAATGGAAAGGAATTTATTAACTAAATGGGTCAAAAGGTTATTTTTCTCTGATGACATCTAGGTACTTCAAAAAGTCTATACTCCATTAAATTAAAGGTAGAATATTTTCATTTGACTCTTGCTGCTAAGCAAGGTAGCCATATGATTACAGCTTATGCAGTGCCTTCATATCTAAAACTTTTATACTTCACTTTTTAAAGCTTTTATTTTGAGGAAAGGAAAAAGCATTTGTCTAAATACAGACTCTTAAGTTGTATATATTTCATGTCATTCTAAAAAAGTGAATTTGTGAAGCAAAGTTTTGCTAAATATTAAACTTTGGAATTTAATATGCCAGATTATTAGAATATTGTCCATTAACTAGTTCATAGATTTTAAAAGCAAAATGCCTCCGACTGTTAAAACTATATGAAGAAAATATCATCTTTGTCTAACTGAAATTAAAAGAAAATGTTAAGGTATTAAAATGAAAATAAAAGTAATACTTTCCAACAAAGAGCTCAGTGATTAATCTAGTAGGAATAAGAGATGTTCTCATTAGAAATAAAACATATAAACTAAATCACCAAATAATGCAATCCACTGCTGACTTTTTATTCTAATTAAAAGATCACTTTGTAGTGACATCAAAGAGTTAGGTTTTTATATCAATTTGGAAATTGACAGCTAATTTTCACACAAATTTCGGACTTAAAAACAATTACCTTTTATTACCTTAAGTTTTATGGCTCTGTTAAGTTAGTTTTTTAAAAAAAAATTAATAACTGAAAATCGATTTGGAATTCAAATATTAATAACTAAGAACTACTGTGTAGGCTTTTTTCTCCCTGGTAGCCTCATTTATAGACACTATATCTGAATTTAGCTGGCAGGCTCTGAATTGTTTTTCCCGCCTTTTGATCATGAAGAATATAAACGTGAACAAATCACCTAACTGCACTGTAGAGATAAGCTGAGTAGGTTGGAGGAAATCAGGGTATCATTTGAGCTGAGAACACAATCCAGGAATCTGAGGAAGCATATGTGCATTTGTCCTTTATAACCTTTAGATTTCTATATGGTCTTATCCTGTGGTTTTAGGATTTTGGATTTCTAGTTTTATCAAAAGTCTGACAGCAGTTTTCAAATTTTTTTACCATGATCCAAAAAAAAACATGACCCTGTAGCATCACAAGTTTATATTAATTTTCAACGCATCCTTTAGTGTACCTCACTATGTGCTGCATGACTCCCTAATGGGTTGCAATAACAGTTTGAATAAAAGCTAATCTGGTCCTTTGAGTAGGTGAGAAGTAGCAGTCAATTTTCTACGATTATGAAATTTATATTCCCTCTATCAGTCTTTTTGCTCATATTTGGGTTATAAAATAGCATAAAAAAGAGGGGAAAATGCTAATGTATTTTTACAATTCACTAACACAGTGAGTTAACAGCTATTCATGATGAAACTTCCTAAATAATCTTATGTTACTGGTAGTCCACAAGATGACTTGGACTTATTTCTTGACATACCAGGTAATTAGGAAATATTCCATGTCAACATTCCACATAATTACTTGGGAAACATCTTTCTTTGTTGCAGACACCACTTTATACAGAACCCTAGAACACTGGATTGTAAAGATTCTAAAGTACACGAGTGTTCTTTATATAATCTTTCCTACTTCCTTTCAGTAGTAGGTTTGTCCACTACTTTCAATTTATAAATTTCTCCTTGTTAATGCATATTAATGTACTGTTTTATTTTAAAACTCGAGAGGCCATTTACTTATATGGGAACAGTGGAATATCTTGTTATATGATAAACTTTGAAGTGTAAGCTTCTCATAAGAAATTTGAACATAGGCTATGGAAATTAGGCTCTCTTAACAAGTAGCAAATAACAAGATGTGTGAAACCAAAGGCCCATTTTTAGAACAGGAGAAATATTCCAATCAAAACTGTAAAAATACAAAATAGCATCAAAATACATTTTTTAAAATATTTTTTTCTGAATTCCGAAGTTGCTTTATAAATATTTACATCCTATCTGCAAAGGCTTTTTTTTTTTTTTAATAATTTTTATTTTTTAATTTTGGGCGGACACAACATCTTTGTGTGTATGTGGTGCTGAGGATCGAACCCGGGCCGCTCGCATACCAGGCGAGCGCGCTACCGCTTGAGGTACATCCCCAGCCCCTGCAAAGGCTTTTAAATGTACTTGATGAAGAATCATTACAATATATGAATGAAGCACCATGTTGTATATATGAAAGTATGCTTTCCAAATAGTAAAACAGATATCTACCTTTACCAAAGAAATTTCAGTAAGAAATACTATTACCCATGAGACCTATGAACATGAAAATGCCTTAAGTTCTACACCATCTATCTAATGTTTTGTTTACTGGAACTTCATAAAATGGCAAATGATATGTACATTTTCCTGAATAAATCTGTATGAAAGTAATCATTAGAAAATGAGAAAAATCATAGCAAAACTAAGATGCAAAGATAAGTAAAGGTGAAGTTTTCTAAATATTTTCTTAGAGCTACAAAAGTTGCACATTTCTTTCAATTTTTGGCAGTTACTCTTAGAAAAATTAGCTTGACATTTATCCTAGTATAGGTACCTTTTCAGAAGACATAAAGTTATTGGCAAGCTTCTCAGGAATGTTTAAATTATTTGAAATTGTCACGTACAGTACCTGCACTGGTAGATCCAATTCCTGTGGTCAACACAGATCTTGGTGTAATCTTGGCTGCATATTTGAGGAATTGAGATTTCCCTGTGCCAGGATCCCCAACCAATAAAAGATGAGGTTCACCTAGAAAAAATTAAATAAAATTTAAAATTGCTATAAAAGGATCCATGAATAAGTATAATCAAAAAGAAAATGATCCACTTGGAATGCTAACATAGTTTATTTTATACAGTGTTATTGATGTATACTTTTATGTAAAGTTCAAGAAAGGATTTAACTAGACAATCTTTAGAACAGTTAACTCTCATAGTAATAGTAATCTTAACTTGATTACTGAATGTGACATTTAAAATCTAAATTCTATTAATAGATTGCTATTTCCAGATGTTTAGGCCCTTGCTTAATTTTTTAAAAATTTGGCTTATAAAATTTCTGATTTTATTCTACCAATTTTAAATACAAACTACTGTTATTAAATCTTTCCATTCAAGTCATACAAGTATTTTATTCTATTTTTATTTAAATATTTTTAATTGTTGGAGATTTTTAAAAGTGCTTTATACTTGTCAAATCATGTAAGATCTAACAAATAAGCAAAAGCATTTCTTATTTTATGAAAATTTTAGTAGCTTAATAAAATATCTATCTTTAAAAAATAGGTGGTTGCAGTGGCATACACCTGTAATTCTAGCAACTCAGGAGGCTAAGGCTGGAGTGCTGCAAGTTTGAGGCCAGCCTCAGCAACTTAGCCAGACTCTATATCTTAAAATAAATGAGTGGGAATGAAGCTTGGTAGATCTCTCAAAATAGTTAAATATTCTTATATTTCAAATGCAACATAAATGAACAAGTGACCATTCTTTGGTACTTGTTATCTCACTGACCAAATGTCTTTAGTTTACTCTAGTGTTTTCTAAATATATTAATAGACAACCCCTATTTAAGCTCAGCAATTATCAGAGTACCATGTAGATAACAGATGATGAAAACACATAATGTATACAAACCCTATACTTAGTATTCTATGCTGAACTATTTTTTAGAGTCTCTACTAACAGCCTGATTTACAATAATGTTCTTTTAGTTATCTAGTTTACTCTTTGGTTATTATGGCCCATATGAGGGACATTCAAGTCAGTTAAGTGTGTTAGCTGCAAAAGAGCTCTCTGCCATCCAAACATAATTATACACTTAGAGTAATCTTTGCTTGAATGTGTGACCTACAGCAGCATCTCATGGCAGATGGCACATTTGCTATCTACCAACAGAAGGGGAATCAGCAGGCAGATGACTGAGAGCAGCAGTCTGAGAGAAATATACCGACAGTCCCAGATGGGGAGACTGACGTGGCAATATTAAAAATGCACTATTTCTAATCTTCTTGAAGAAAGACTCAGGATCCAATAAAAATTACTAGTAATAAAATCATAAACATTTTATTTAGCGGCACCTGTATAGGGTAGATCAATACTATTTACCTATTGAAAAACTTAATTTTTTTAAATGTTTCTGGAATTTGGGAGAGTAGCTTCTGATAAAGGTGCTGAACTAAGTATG